GTGGAGGCTTCCTGTTGTCCGGCTACTCAGCTCTGGTCATGTACAACATGTCCCACTCCGTCATGTTTCATAACATTGATGATGTCTTCATAGCACTGTGTATGGAGAAAGCAGGAGTACGTCCTACATCTCACATAGGAGTGAAGATAGCAGGGCATCGCAGTCCCGGCAATATTGATCCATTAGAACCTTGTTATTTCAAAGAAATTCTGCTTGTTCACAGATTCCTTCCACCTGAATTGTACGTTATGTGGAAGCGGCTACATGATCCTAATCTGAAATGCTTTCACAGTAACAAATAGCAACCTACAGGTGATGAAAATGTTTAGTGGTGATTATTTTTGCTTAACAGCTTCTTTATTATGTACACTTCTACAGTCTAATGCTTGATCCAAAAACAACAATTCTACTGTTAGTAAGATCCTGCTAATGATCAAATCAGAACTTTTTTTAGATCACTGGTTTTCTGTCATTACCTTTATTAAAAATATGAAATAATGTTTTAGTTTGAGCTGATGTTTAGCCTTCCTTGTATCCATTCAAAATCTATTCAGAATTGTTGCATTTGTGACATTTGTGGGGAAAAAATAAAAGTGTATGTCAACTATAAAGCTTTGTATGTGGTATTAACATGTCACCTTGTCTGCAGAACTTTGATCGGCTCTTGCTCCTCTTACTGTTTGTTGTAAAGTTTGATTAGCTGAAGGCCTCTTGATTGTTTCTTCTCGTCTTGGTGGTGGAACGCGATGATATGAACCCTATCACATGTGTTACTCAGGTGGATATAATATACTGATGTCTTTCTCCTGCTATGATTGTTGATCTTGAATAAAAGAGAAGTGCATTTGGAGCCAGTGAAAGAATGTTTTTTATTTCCACATTCATGGATGAAAGTAAACCTTCTTTGCTGTCCTGTAAGTGCTTAAAATATTGTCCCAGAGTCACTAGGCATGGGCAATCATGCAAACCCTAGAACAGTCTGTGACGCAATCCGGCGTCTGAACAGAGCAGGCCCAGGCAGCAATCCCCTGTACCGGACCGAGGCGACGTCCGCTCTGAGTGATAAAAAAAAAAAAGAATGAAAACAAAACAGAAACGAAACAAGAAAAACATTTAAAGAACTAAAACAGCAGCGCAGCTCAGGTAGTGGTGGTAAAATAGAGATAAGATAAGCTTGATTTGTCACATACATATTTGTACACGGTACAATGCGCAGTGAAATGTGTTTTGTACCAGCATCCAGTTTCAATAAAAAAATAAATGTTCAAGAAATATATATATATCTTAAGTATATATACATATACATAAATAAATCAAATAAAGCAAATGGAGCACTGTTATATTACATAAGGTGCATATGTAAAAGGTGCCAATGTGTATTGCACAGCCCAGTTTAAATCTCAGAGTTGAGCAAACGCATGGCCTAAAGGAAGAAACTCTTCCTCATTCGCTCAGTGGCAGTCTTTAGGCAGCGATAGCGTCGGCCTGACAGCAGCAGGGAGATAAGAGATTTTTCAGGATGGCCAGGCTGCTTCAGGATCTTCACAGCCCTTGACCTGCATCATTGGGTGTAAATGTCCTGCAGTTTGGGGAGGGTGGCTCTGATAGTTCGCTCATCTGAACGGACCACCCTTTTGAGGGCCAAGAAGTCATGCTTGGTGCAGCTGCCCATCCAGGTGGTAATGCTCCCGCACAGGATGCTCTCAGTGGTGCAAGTGTAAAAGTTCCTGAGCACTGTGAGCAGGAGCTTGAAGTCTCTCAGGCTTCTGAGGTAGAAGAGACGCTGTCTGGCCTTCTTCACAGTGGTCTTTATATGAAGTGACCAAGACAGGTTCTGTGTGATTGTTATACCTAGATATAGTTTGTCTGCTGTCTGATTCAAAGAGTGCAAACAAGTTAAATCCGTCAGCCAGAGAAGCATCGGCACTCACCATGGGTGTGTTTGGCGTTTTGTAGTCCGTAGTGGTGCAGAGTCCCTGCCACAGTCCCTTGGAGTCACACTGCTGTAATTGTCACTCTAGTTTCTTGCCATAGCGCTGTTTAGTCTCCTTTGCTGCTCTGTGGATGTTGTCACAAGCCCCATGTTGTAGGCAGCAGTGCGGGATCTCGGGGCATTGCAGATGGTTGCATCCACCCATGGCTTCTGGTTGGGAAACGGCCTGATGGTAGCTTTAGCTGTAATGTCTTCCACTACTTTCCCAATAAATCCCACAACAGCCCCTCCGTGGCTCAGCTCATGTCTTGTAGACTTTGGTCTCTTGTGGACCTTAGAAGATTTGCAGTAGATTTGCCTACTGGTTTGAATGCTTTTGTATTTGTTCTTTATATGCTCCAAAACCTGTTAAACACCACCTGGGCTGCAGCTTAAAAAATAAGGCTAAAATTTTCTTCCATGCCAAAAGAAAACATTCAAGCAACGTATTCATTTCAGGTCATTTAAGGTTATTTTTCAGAATACAAAATAGTTATAGTCAGGTTACTGTAGTGACTTGATTTTAACAAACAAAACCTAAGCCACAGTGAGGGGCTGGTACCGGGATATGTAATTGACGCGTCGTCATGCGGCTCCACGCAGTAAATCAAACATCTGCGGACTTGTGCTTAAGATGTATTTATTCACCAACGTGTATCACTTTGCTATGCACACATTTACATCTATAATGTGCATGAAAACAAAGAAAGGGCTTAAAGATTAGCCTCTAAACGGCGGCAACGGCTGCGACGGTCAAAAACTGTTTGCTTCGCCCGGTAAGCAGCACACCTGAGGAGTAATTACCTCTTCTTCTACTCATACATTTCCATGTGCCGCTATCCGATACGCCACCTTCTGTGGCAACCGGGGAATGACCTGAACACACATACAAATGGCTCTAACAGTTACCTTGTTGGCCAATGACATTAATCTGACTGATTGAGCTGTGTGGCTTTAGACATTGGTTTAGCATAACATGTTGATGGTTCTTTTTACAAATATGTTGCTTTTGACTTGTCTGTGCTCATGATTTGTTATTTGATGCCAACACCACCCTTTTCATGCCAGCATGCTCATAACTCAATTCAGAAACTGTAGTTTGATTAAATGAGTTGATAACTAGCTTCATGTGACCGCTTAGCCTGACAGTGATTGTTATAGTAGACCATCAATGGGCAACTACAGAGTAATCGTGCATGCTTTTTTGTCTGTTAACAGTCTCGCACTTTACAGGAGAGGAGTTTGAACCTGAAACTTCATATATGACCTCGGTATGGTCCCTTCTTGGAGTGATTAGATTTTGGGGTCAATACATGCATTGGTGACTGCTACAGAAGTCAAAGGTCGCATTTCACAAAAACAGCTCTGTATGACTGAAAATGCACAAGAAGACATGTTTAGTTTTCTAACATCGGAAGACATTTGAGGCCTATAAACTGGGGGTGCAACATATGACCTTGAGAAAAGGTCACACGGAAAGTCTTTAAAAAATCATACATTTTAAATCCATGATAACTTGGAAAAGGTGTAACATAAACACATAGGTTTCTGTTTGTTTTTTGTTGTTGTTGTTGTTTTGTTTTTACAATCAGATAGGAACCCATATAAAACACAAAATCAGGTAAACATGCATACACTGGGTAACTATGTCCCTCTACTAAGGGCACTCTAGTTACCTATGTATTTATTTTCCACTTATCAATGGTGACACATGCTTTTTATTTCAGATTACTTTATGGGAGTGGCTATCAGATAATTCATGCTCCAAGTGATTTACATTTATTTCACTTTAGTTTCTTTTTGATAAACGGAAGGTTTAATTAAAGAGAATAATTATATTATTTTGTTTAAACGTTCTCCCCGTGCAGCGTGGATTCTCTCCAGGTTCTCCGGCTTCCTCCCACACAGTCCAAAAACATGTTGAGGTTAATTGGTGATTCTAAATTGTCTGTAGGTGTGAATGTGAGTGTGCTTGGTTGTCTGTCTCTAAGTGTAGCCCTGTGATAGACTGGTGACCTGTCCAGGGTGTCTCCTGCCTTCACCCTGAGTCAGCTGGAATACACTCTCGCGAATTATTATTAAGGAGGATTCTAGGAAGACGATGATGCTGTCAAAGTGGATGCTTTCAGATATGTTCTGTGAAAGGGATTTCTGCATGTCATTACCTCAGGAGGGGTCTGGTGAGGTCAAAACAATCCAATATTGTGACACCACTAAGTGGTGGTAGATCTCTGCTCTTTCATTTGTTCGGTTTATGAGGTCTGTTTCACATCCAAGACACTAATACTGGACACAAGTAGAGTCAATACCTACAAACTTGTGCATTTATCGAGACATTTATTGTTTACTGCAAATAAAAGTGCAAATCTACAACATGCATTTAGGTAATACAAACTCGAATATCATCTTTGAACCAGCAAAAGCGCATACAGTACAAAAAATTACAGTAATTACAAAATATAAAAGAGAGGCTTTTAACAAGTGAATTGACCAGCATGATACTGTCCTTACCGTGTTGCAGTAATGTGAGGACTTTAATCTGACTTCCAAAGCCTGTTGTTGACTCACAGTCTAATTTAAGTGTCCAAGTGTCAAACCGCTTTGGTGAGATATCTTCATTCAGCAGAATCACTGGTGTCCTAAAACTTTCCAACATTTTAAACTTCATAACGAGGAGAAGGTTTTTAGGTCTACATAAGTCTTTGCTTTAATGTCAATTTCATTTCCATCTAACTACAACTTACAAATACACAAAAGTCTTAAATGCATTTGTAAAAGACTCCTTATGCCTCTCAACCCTTTATTAGTGTGGCATATTGTGATCATATCCCACATACTGTACATATGACTGTTTTATTATTGTTCTTTGTGTCTAATCAGAGAATTTGCAGTCTGGGTGGTCATTGCTCAACAGACTCAGCAGTGCAGAGACCAGTTCAGATCACATAATTCCAAAGTGCTTGAGATTTACTCATCATGGAGCAGCGGTCTTTGATAGGCTCATTTGATTGAATTTGTTACCTTTTAACATGACTGTCTTCTTAACTCTAACTGCGAACGACTAACCATTGACTGAGAAAACGAGCCTGACCTTGAAATATTGTGTGTACATCAGTTAGAAAATGGAACCCCGGGCTCAGTTTTAGAATTATATATCACGATCCAAAGACTAGAAAAATAACATTGCCTTTAAATGTGATGCATGGAAGTTAGCATGGTGATGTCTAACAGTAAGAATAGCTGGCAGAAGGGCAAATAAATGCCTGGGTATTAACAGACTGAAAATGTTGCTGGAGCTCAGGGTGGTAGTCAAGAACTTGGGTCAGGGATTTAGGTTGGTAACTGAAGCCTGTGCAGAGAAGGGCATGAGGAAATCCTGAGGGGAGCAGGACAACGAGGGTTGGGACATGAGCTGAGCCACTGAGGGGGTCAGACATGACAGGAGGACTGGGATCAGAAGCTGGAACATCTCCAGACCTGAACTGTCCTGATGAACTACAACTGGTAGCTGAGCTCAGCCTACAACACTCCTGTTGCTGCTCCTGCAAATAACCACAAGCAGGGTGAGAGAAACATGCATTCTTCCCTTTGATTGTTGTTATATACATATTTAGAGGGGGAAAAAAGACAATTTACTTTCATCTCTGAATGTGAAATAACAAAACCTCTTTCACTGGCTCCAAATGCACTTCTTTTTTATTCAAGATCAACAATCATAGCAGGACAAAGACATCAGTATGTTATATAGGCTCCACCTGAGTGACACATGTGATAGGGTTCATATCATCATGTTCCACCACCAAGACAAGAAAAAACAATCAAGAGGCCTTCAGCTAATCTTTACAACAAACAGTAAGAGGGGCAAGAGCCGATCAAAGTACTGCAGACAAGGTGACATGTTAATACCACATACAAAGCTTTATAGTTGACATTCAATCCTTTTGTTTGGTATGTTTCACAAATGTTACAAATGTAGCTATTCTGAATAGATTTTGAATGGATACAAAGAAGGTTAAACATCAGCTCAAGCAAAAAAAAATCGTTCAGATTTTTAATAAAGTTAATGACAGAAATCCAGTGATCAGCACCACTTGATGTACATATTTTTTAGATTTTTTTGTTTCGTCTCTAAAAAAAAGTTCTGATTTGATCATTAGCAGGATCTAACCATAGAATTGCTGTTTTTGGATCAGATTGCATTAGATTGTAGAAGTGTACCTAATAAAGAGGCTGTTGGGCAAAAATGAGTGCTAGTAAACATTTTCATCACCTGTAGGTTGCTATTTGTTACTGTGAAAGCATTTCAGATTAGGATCATGTAGCCGGTTCCACATAATGTACAATTCAGCAGGAAGGAATCTGTGAACAAGTAGAATTTCTGTGAAATAACAAGGTTCTAATGGATCAATATTGCCGGGACTGCGATGCCCTGCTATCTTCACTCCTATGTGAGATGTAGGACGCACTCCTGCTTTCTCCATACACAGTGCTATGAAGACATCATCAATGTTATGAAACATGACGGAGTGGGACATGTTGTACATGACCAGAGCTGAGTAGCCGGACAACAGGAAGCCTCCACCACCTAAGTAAGGAGGGTATGTGTCTGTCTCCTGCACCTGAACGGGAACATAATACTTACTGTCTGGAAATCGATATGGCGTTCTATTCTCGATCAGAAAGCCAGTAAAGAGATGTTTGCTTCCATCATTGTCCTTCAGGCTTTTTAGATAAGAAACCATGTTGTCTGTGTGAGCAAGAACATCATCATCACCGTTCATCAGGAAGCGAACATGTGGACAGTTTCTGTCCATCCATTCTAGGAAGAGGACTTGTTTCAAGGTGAGATTGTAGAATGTGTCATCAAAGTCCCATTGGAGGATGTCATTGTACTCATGTTGCTCAAATTCGAGGAGTTTGTTGAGTCTCATCTTCTCAAAACCATCACCCCTGGTTCCTGCAATGAAGAGTCTTCGGATCCACACACCATTCTGCAATCTCTCTTTAGCCCAGGTTTTACGCAGCACCTCTCGACGGTCGTAGTTCACAGGAGAGCTTTTAATGACCAGTAGAAGAAAGATTTCTGCAGATCCTTCAGCTCCTCCACATTTGTCAGGAATATCCAGTATCATGGGAAAATGTCGACAGTGGCGATGATAGAGAAAGTCTTGTATAAGACGAGGAAGTGAGTTGAAGCCGGGGACGCTGGCAGCAGATAGATTTGTCTGACATTTTGGCCAGGAGTATTTATAAGAAGAACTTCTGGTTGCTGGCTTTGGTTGGATGACAGCCTTTCTCATATTACCTTGAAGGAGGATGTGTTTGTAGTTGGTTAAATCTTCAGGGAACCAAAGATAGACAACCACAACAAGACCTCCCAACACCAAGAGAGTGGTGACGAAGATTTTCTTCTTTGAAGTGCTGCAATGACAAAAAAAAAAAAAAAAAAAGAATTGCCATTAGACACAAAATTTTAAACATGACTATTACATACAGCATCAAGAGGTTAGGATATATAAGCCAAAGCTATCAGTAAGAATCTCTTGTTTTGCAGTAAAAAAGGAGATAGTTTGAAGGAATATGGAGCTTTTGAAAATCAGTGGTTGGTTTGGTTTATTCAGACTTTTAAAGCCTGAATTTGGATGGAAGACTGTTTATTTTATTTTTATGCTTCATTTAAAATGTTGTTGGCCTGTTGAGGTTAAACTGCTCAGGTTTTATAAAGAAGAGAAATTCAAAGTGTGTACAATATTACAGGCTGCTGTCTGGTTGTCAGAATTAGTTTTGCACAAACAATTGATCAGTATTTTATTTTATTTTATTTTTTTTCACCGTCCTTAATTTACTGTACCTTATACAAGTGTAGATACTCTACACCTACAAGACCAAAGTCAAAGCATGCTATGATTGCACAGTGTAGTATATATCATGATTAACATTTCTACCTTTTATGCATTGAAATATAGAATCACATATAAAGTCTAACTTGAGATAAGTAGTAAAAATGTTCAAGTGCCTGTTTTTAAATCCAATAACTAAAGGTGCTCTCATACAGATAAACCTGCAGGAAGATGTTTTGTACTGTTTCTTGTTGTGCAGCATTCTTTGTTGGATCAAGATGTGGCACATCCTTGTTGTCCGTGCATCTTTGTGTGATTGGATTTTAATTTGATCCACAGTGGTAGCACCCTGCTCTACTATCCTTTACGTGATGTTAAAAATATTAAAGAAATAATAATGAAAAAAGATATGTCTACTTGTGTGTGGGGGGGGAAAGTAACAGAATCATCAGTTTGAGACAAATCTGACTGACAATACCAATACTGTTGTCTTCCTTTACACAAATACAACATTAGGCAGGAGCAATATATTTTAATAAACAGTGTGACTTTTGGAAAACTTTTTTTCATGAATTGCTGTAAAGTCCAGAAAAGTGTCACTACTGATAAATCCTGCAGAAAAATGACTAAGAAAGAATTGAAAATATAAGTTAATGACATAACAAGAAGTTATTTTAACATTTTGTAAGTGAACAAACAAGAAGAGAATCAAGGTTTTCAACATCAAACTTGTATCCAGCCATCTGTACAAGTAATTAATTTGACACAATTATGTAGCAAATAATCAAACCTCATTTCATCTAATTTATTTAGCAGTAATTACCTGAGCATGTTGGTAGATCTGTACGTTGGTCAGTATCCCTCTGTTCCTCCACAGACAATATGTGCACAGTGACAGTATTTCAGGTCATTTCAGGTAATGTGCAAACTTATATGACGTCTCATTTTGATCCGTTTCAGCCTATCAGGACACATAAGAATAAGCACTCCACAACTGCCAAAACACTCCATTGTTCAGACTGTTTAATGTGGGTTCTTACTACTGCTACACCTCTGTTTACAATGCAAATAAAGTCAACTAAAGGCCGAGATAACACTAAATACTGAATCTACGCAAAAGACATGAGGCGTTAATTATCAGCAGAGCAACGAGACTGAGCTAGACCTGACTTAAACCAGGATCTGCAAGCCAAAAAGAGCTACACAGGGGAAAAAAAGGCTAAAGAGAACAAAAGAACTGGAACCTACACTGACAAACACCAGGCAGGTGAACCAGATGGCTTGTGTTAAGTCCTGGGGTTGTGGCAGCTATGACAAGCCCTTTTAATATTTAGTCTGGATATGTAATACATCCATTCATTCATTATCTATATACCGCTTAATCCTCACTAGGGTTGCCAGGGGACTGGAGCCTATCCATTAGGGCGAAGGCAGGGGACACAGGGCTACACTTAGAGACAGACAACCAAGCACACTCACATTCACACCTACGGACAATTTAGAATCATCAATTAACCATGTTTTTGGACTTGGGAAGCTGGAGAACCCGGAGAGAACCCACGCTGCGCGGGGAGAACATGCAAACTCCGCGCAGAAAGATTCCGGTGCCCCCACCGGGGCATGAACCGGCGACCTTCTTGCTGCGAGGCAACAGTGCTACCAACTGCGTCACCTTGCAGCCCTAATACAGATATCCGCAATTCAATTCTTCCTAGTCAAAATGAACATTTCAGATATCTACTATGACATTATCCATCCATCCATTATCTACACACCGCTTAATCCTCACTAGGGTCATGGGGGGCTGGAGCCTATCCCAGCCGACTTAGGGCGAAGGCAGGGGGCACCCTGGACAGGTC